AAAAAAAAAAAAAAGTACAGCCCTCAAAATGAGAACACCAATCTAGGTAACATCAAGGTGCTTTTAAAAACCCTCTCCTGCCCAACTCAAAAACAAAAACAAAATAAAATAGACATATGCAGTTTAGTTGGCATATTGGTTTACTCATTTTTAAAATCTTTCTGCCTGCAGTGAACAGAGATATTATAAATTACAAATCTAAACCATTATGAAAGAGAAATTAATTTTATTAATGCTCCAATATAAAGCTGCCGTGGAGAAGGTGCCATACTTATAGCTGGACAGCATTTGTCAGTGGTGATTTATGGTGTCTTTAAAATCAGAGGCATTATCTGAATTGGCCATCTATTCTTGGTTTAAAAATGTGTATAATGGCTAACAAGAAGGACTCAGGTGAGGTGAGATAGTTGGATGAAAAACAACAATATTATAAGTTATCAATTCATGCACACCTTTCATCAGGAGATTGCAATGTCCTTTACAATCACAAATGTATAAGCCTCATAAATTGCCTGCTGCAACGGGTGCTATCTGTTTAATTAAAATGTCAAGTTGGTGATTATGTAACTTCCTCAGGAAAGTAGAGGAGGACATGGCAGATGGCCTACTTTGTGAGGTGAAGCTGAGCTCTTGAGCTAAATGAGGCCATGTTGATAACACTCCATACAGAGGGTGAGAATGATCCCTTAAGTCACTGAAGGTTGTCAATATAATATTGAATATGATTCAATTTCTAAACTTTTCATCTATATTCACTGCATGTGCTTTGAAGGAAGGAAAGAAAGAAAGTCCTAGCTCACTGTCCAGTTAGCAAAGAGCACTTTTCACAAATCCTCAAAAACTTCCCGTCCCCAAATGTTAAGCATGGTTCTCAAATCCTATAGGATGCTGCTGAAATCAGGCAATTGTGAGATAAGCTCGAGAAGAAAACGACCATGTATTTTACAGCAATAAATGCCAATAATGTTGTTGTTGAGTGCTGTCAAGTCAGTTCCAACTCTTGTATCATTTAGTTGGTACCAATTCATGGCAATATTATGTACAAGAGAACAAAACACTGCCCGGTCCTGTGCCAGCTTCACAATCATTGCTACACTTGAGTTCATTACTGCTGCCACAATGCCAATCCATCAAGTTGAGAGTATTCTTGTTTTTCACTGACCCTTCAGTTTACCAGCATGATATCCTTCTCCAGGGACTGGTTCCTTCTGTAGATAATATGTACAAAATATGAGACATGTAGTCTGTCCATTCTGGCTTCTAAGGAACATTTTGGCTGTAACAAACACAAATTCATTTGTTCTTCTAGAAGTCTACTGTATTTTCAATATTCTCCTCAGTGTACAGATTGGATAAGTATGGTTAAAAACTACAATCCTAACACACACCTTACCTGATATTAAACTTTTAAGTAGCCCTGTATTTTGTTGGGATGACTGTCTCTTGGTCTACGTACAGCTTCCTCATGAGCACAAGTAAGTATTCTGGAATACCCATTCTTTGAAATGTTATCATAGCTTGCCATAATCCACACAGAAAGCCTTTTCAAAGTCAATAAAGTATAGGTAAACACCTTTCTGATATTCTCAGTTTTCTGCCAAGATTCATCATAAGTCAGCAATGATATCCCTCCTTCTACATCCTCTTCTGAGTCAGGTTTGCAGTTCTGGAAGTTCCCTGTCAATGTACTGCTGCAGCAATTTTTTAAAAATTGTTTTTAGCAAAATTTTGCTTGTATGTGATATAAATAATATTGTGTGATGATTTTCATCTCTCTGAGGAATGAGCACAATAGCCACATTTTGACCTTGAAAATAGAATTTAGAGATAATCTCAAGAGCTGATTTGATGCACTAAACATTAATGACCAAAGACAAGAAAAGTTGTGGAATGACTTCAAGAACATCATATAGGAAGAAAGCAAAAGGTCATAAAGACAAGAAAAAAGGAAAAGATAAAAATCGATGTCAGAAGACACTATGAAACTTCCTTTCCTCTCCCACATAGAGATGCTAAAGCAAGTGGAAAATATGAGAAATTAAAAGAGCTGAACAGAAAATTTCAAAGTGCAGTTCAACAAGTTAAAGCCAAGTAT